CTTAACAAAAAAGCACACGTGCATAGTATACCCATGAGAACTCAAGCACGCATTCACTCAGGAGACAGTTCTTTATTGCAGTCTAGTGTAGGTTGGTTATTCCCATAACGTCAGTGTATATTCAGCTGACTTACCCTTTCATCTCACCAAAGCCCTAACGTTGCATGTCCCATCAGCATTTCATTTAAAAATAAGAAATTTTGAAGAATGTTTCAGCTGGTTTTGTCCATACAATAGAAGTCAGTTGGAGTGAACTATCCCTTTAAGCTGAAGTGTGTCATTTGTGTGCCTCTAGTCTAGTGACACCAAACAGAAGTGCAAAAATTGGTTGAATAAAAATAATTGCAAATAGTGTGCTGCAGTGATTATGTATTTTTGTAGGCCAACCCCGAAGTTAGCATCACCCTGGTTTCCCTCAACAAAAAACCCAATAGGATGTTTTACACTGGCTTTTAGATTATTGCAAAAAATAAGCTCTGTGACCAACAAAAGTTTATTATTCTTACATGTTTTGTTCATAATAATAATCTTCACAAATGAACACATCTTTAAGAAATTTGCAATGCAATTGCAATGCAAATGCAATCGCAAAAATTAATTAAAAAGCTAAACGTAGGCTATAAACCAACTATCCCACAGTCGCATAACTTCAACATCACCACCATTAAGCTTCCAACAACTTTTAGTCTTTATTTATAATGTTATGTTATTTTTAAAAAATTATTACATAAATAAATCTGAATTAGAATAGCTCCCAAGAGCTGTGAAAGCAAATTAGTGAGTAGATGAACACCTGTTCGGCGTGATGACATGAAATGCTCCCGACAAACTCTGTAGCTTCCTTTTCAACACAAGTAAAGTAAAGGGAGTATTACTTATATATTTTAAAAATGTGAAAATATCTTAAGCTTGTTTAACTACTGGCCTTATTTTAGTCATTTAACCAAAAATCCAGTTAAAAAACACATTGACTTTGGGTAGATGAAACCGGAAGTGATAAAATGCCAACTCATTTCCAGGATTTGGCACATCCATGCATATTAATCTAAGATACAAGAAAATATTTAAACATTGAAACAAATAGACACTTCAGTTTTAACCATGAAAATATGTTCTGTTACGAGATATTAGAATAGTTGCATACATTACAGTTCTGTGGTATTAAAATGTATAAACAATTTATGCAACAGGATTTAACCTGAATTGGGACACACTGGCTTCAGAAATGTAAGAAATCCTTTTACTATGCCATTGACATTGTCAATGTTTCTATGTGCCACTCAGCCCCCCAGGAGAAACCAGTGGACAAAGCGGGGAAGAACCCTACACAAGAACCCGAAGAAGAGATCGACATTGATCTGGATGCGCCAGAGACGGAAAAGGCAGCTTTGGCAATACAGAGTCAGTTCAGACGCTTCCAGAAAAAAAAGAAGTAGAAAAGGGAAGAATGAATTGAAAGAATCAGTGCAGAGGATAAAAACACCTTCCACAATATTCAAAATGGAAAGAGATTTAATAAGGAAGAGACAGGGAAAAGGGAAAAGTCATGTGTGGGTGGTAAATTAGGGGTTTGGAAAACAAATGATAGCCCAGTGGCATCAACATGCTGGGTTGATTAGAGTTTAGGACATAAGAATAGGGAAGGATTTTCACTTTAAAAGACATTGCAGATTTTGTTCTAGTTGTATTTGTGTAGATTTGTCTCCATCCTTTCTATCCTCTCCTGTAGACATAAATATAGATAGGAGCGTCAGTTACTGACATGTGCAACACACATCTATTATTTAATATATTCAGTATATCATTGATGCAACAGAACAAATGTAATTAATATAAACGTAAGAATTCAAAGGGCAGTGAATGACCAAATGTTGCACTGCACCTACAGTAAAACATGTTGGTGTGAATTAGCATTATAGATATGAAGTAGCTTAGTTGTAAATGTATTCTTAGAGGTAGCTGTTAATTGTTTTCTTTTGTTTTTCTTTTCTTTTAAAACGAGAAGCATTTGAAAAAATAAGGAAATCTCGGTAATACCATTATCTTTTTTGTCATTAGTTAACTACTTTAACATGAATTAACAATTAAATACTTCTAAAGCATTTATTAATGTTAATTATTGTTAATACATTATTAAAATCAAAAGTTGTATTGGTTAATATTATTTAAAGGAACTAAGCATTAATTAACAGTTGTATTTTTAAACTAATGTTAACAAAAATGAATAAATACAGTAAAAAAGGAACTGTTCGCTGTTAATGTTATTTAATGCATTACTGTAAACCAAATTGTAAGGTGTTACCGAAATTTCTGTATATCAACAGCAGACCAAATAATGATTATTTGATTACAGAAAAATATATATAATAACCTGACATAGCCATATCTTGCATATTTCTGCCTTTTGGACAGGGATTTAATCAAGACACCGTATAAAATTAAGTGGCTTGTTATTTTCAAATTTATTTGAAATACATGTGAAACAGGCAAAGTATAACTTTTTTGTTCAGTTTACTGTATTTTACCGGCTGGTTGAATTTAGCACAAGGTCAAGAACCTTTTTAAGTCACTCATACTCACTGAAATTAGCATAATGCATTCATTTTTGCTTTAATGCCAGAAATTACAGACATGCAACTAGATCCTTGAATTTTTGGGAACTGGTGATTCAAATGAAGATGATTATAAAGGAAAGTGTAACATTTTGATCTATTTTAAGTGTCTTTCTCTTTCTCCTTCCCCTATAATTAAAACGGTCTCTACAGATATCTCAGAATAGCTCATAATAATGAGAGCACTCAAGATTATCTCACAGTTAATGGGACAAATGATGTCTGTAATTGCATTGAGACAGGTGTGATGAAAATGTCATCCGTGTTTGATCGTTCTCAAATAGTCACTGCCAATGCAATAATTGAATACATCTGTTATTATTCTATACATTTTATATAAAGTATGACATATTTTACTGTTGGCCAGTTATCTTGTCCTGTATTGCCCTGTACTTCTTTTCCTTTGCGTGTGCTTATGTCTACTTGAGTGCTCTAACCCACACTTGTTTCTTTTTTCTCCGTGTGACTCAGTCTAAAATATATGCTTCAATAGCAAGAACTGTATATCCTAAGCTGAATTGTATGTCCTAGGGGCGGTGAGTCGATGGTTATATAAAGTAAAGAGCATGATGTAACATTAGTTTGCTTCTTTCCATCAAACATATTTAATGGATATTGGAAATGCACATTGCAAGTAAATATTGCTTGTAGGTTGCAGCAGGATTTCTTTAAACTTGCAATCTAAAATACTGTGTTTAAGCAGAACATTAATGCAGGTGAAGCATTAAGCACAAAGTGAAGGGTAAAAAAAAAAATCCTGCTTCTTATTTGTAAACCAAAATATTAAGCTTTTTTATAGCTTTATATCTAGTTTGTTGCTGTCCCCTGTAATGGAGCACATTCAGATTAATTTGATAATTTAACGAATGCAAGTTTACTCATGTTTGGTTATGTGTAGGACTGTGCAAATGCTTAGCTCCCAAATGTCATCATACAATCTTCTGAGAAGAGTTGATGCCATCATACTATAATAGTTAAAAAAATAGAAACACCTAAATACCTAAAAACTATAAATACCCTAAATACCAAACATATGCTTCAACAGCAGAGGGCACCCTCTCCCTTTCTTTCAGCCTTAGTCCTATATGTACACACAAGCAGAGAAACATGAGGCCCTGTCAAAAATGCCACAGTTGATGTTAAGTGCAAAGCTTGTACGTGTTAAAAGTTTATGAGACTGTGTATGGTGTCCCATTTGTCATTTGAGGTCGCAGAAGCATCCTCAATCACAGCTCTAGCTGTGACTTATGGCTCTGCTGCAGGTGGCTTTTATCAGAGGCCCTTAGACTTAAAGGTTAGCAAAAAGAAGCTCAACGCTGTTTTTGGATGCCGTGAATGGAAGGAGGAGATGATATTGTCATAATAGATAGATGCTAATCTCGATTTCAGAGTACGCTGAATAAACTTGTGAGGAAATATCTCATAACTTAATGACTCGACAGCCTGTCGGCTAATCTTCAACATGTTTGCCAATAAAGATTCATTTTCGATTTAATAAATTGGTGTTTTATAAGAGAAGGGCTAAGCTATTTATTACTAAATAAATACAAAAACTCATTCTGCATTTTATTTTTAAAAAATAATAAACACTTTATGCATTGCATAAATCCAGAGAAAAATTACTACACAAAGCATTCTAGAAATAAATCAAAATCAAACAACTTACATGACTAACAGAAAACAGAAAATGCTTTTTATAAAAAAAAAAATGTATGTACAATATACAATAAAAATAAATAATACAGAAAATAACAAAAATATATTACATCTTTGATGCATAAAAAGTGCTTTTTTTTTTTTGTTGCCATTTTTATTTAGTGGGCAGAGAGGACGAAATAAGATCATAATTCAAACTTGTGTCACCTGCACATACCCCAAAGATTCATGTGTTGTAACACATGAACTAGCTCCAATAACTGCTCATTTCCACACTCATAAAGAAAATAAATCCAGATGCCTTTTTAGCTACAAAATAATGCTTCCTGGATATAATGCTGCAGGAACTGAAACAAACAGATTTTTTGTGTTGTAAACCACACTAGCCAATTGTGAAAATCTTAATTATAGACTATAGGTCGTGGGAAACAGGTTGAGGGTTAAGTTTTTGACTTATGCTGTTAGCCCTTCACATTTTTACAGTGGTCTGCTTTTTCACACATATTCTCATGAATTTATTTACAATGCTTGCAAGACTGAACTGTACCTTAAATATCAAAGTTCGGTGGTTTGTTTTAAACCCACAATCACTAAAAATTCATTTTGAATGTTTTGTCTGCATACTTAATTTTGATTATCTTAACTTAATTGTGATTATCATATATTTAACAATTTAAGTTGAATTACAACAAGAATCTAGGTTGATCGTGTGTAGCATACAGAAAATAAAAGATGCGTGCTGAGTGGCAAAATGTTTCTGATGCAGCATTTCATTTATATAGAATTAAAACCTGAAACCTATAGTCTTACTTAAAACTTTAACATGAATCATGAGCTGCCTTCCATCCAATGGTATTTATTTGAAGAAATGCAAATCTAGTTGTCTATCTAGTTGTCTAAGTACTCTCTTACTTCTAAGTATATAATCTGTTACTTTGATTTTCCTGAATAGCACATGAGTGTTTATAGGCTTCTTATCCCCCTTGCTTTCATTTCAATTATTTTCTTTCTGTCTCTTTAACCCAGAGGTGTTCAATTCTTCTTATAATCAGCCCCTTAACATCTGTGTAAAGTCTTCTTTTTTCTATATTCTAAATCACTCCAAGTCTTTTCAAATAAAATGCATTATTCCTCTTCATTTTTGTTTCTTCCCACTCTCCTTTTTTTCTTTCAAATCTTTGAATTTAGTGCTTTTGTTGTTTCTATATGTTAGCTCATTGAGTTGTCTCTTTGACTCATTTTATTTATTTTTTCTCAGAATCTCCTCTCTTGCTTTGGTTCATTTGCTGCTGCATAGTTTTCTGGTCAAGTTTGTCCTCCAACTGATCAATTTCTTGCTCAAGCAGAGCTAGTTTAACAGGATCTGACTCACATCGGTCTTCATCCTCCTCCTCTTCCTCATATTCTTCCACTTCAATTCCATCCATGGTCTTTTGAAGCTGAGTCTTCACTTTGTTTAGTTCCAGTAGGCCATGTTGAAGCTCTTTGCAGACTTCCCGGATCTTGGAGGCAAATTTGGTCTTGGCACCTTTGTGAAGTTCATTGGAGTCTTTGGCAAGAAAGAAGACATCCAGGGCGAGGAAGAGAGTGGACATGACCCCAGTGGTGATACTGATGGCCTTGGCGGCTTTGGCAGCACCTCCTGCAACACCTAGAACTTTCACAGTGTTGATAAGCCTATCAGTGTTTATCATAAGGGCTTTACCTGCTCGTCCACCTTCCTTCATTACATGCTTTATGTTACGGCTAAGACTTGTGTTGACCACACTCTCAGAGTACCCCTTAAAATCCCATTCCTGCAGGGTGTTCATTCCTTCCTACATACACAAAAGAAAAATCAGAAGTGAGACGCAGATAGACAGACAGACAGAAAGACAGATCGACAAACAGACAGACTGGCATACAGACAGATGACACACAGATGGAATGCTAAACATACTTGCATGAACTCCAGACAATCTCTGATGTCACTGATCTCATTCTGGTAGCCTTGGATCATCTTCTCCACCTTCTTGCGATCCATCTTGGACTGAACAGCATCCGTGATATTAGCTGTGGCTGAGGTGATGCTTCCAGCTGTTGCCACACTGATACCCACTGCAGTGACGATAGTGGAAGTGCCAAAGGTGAAGGGTGCCAGGATGAGGCCAGTAATGGTGGCTATGCCCCCTGCCACACTAGCTACGCCCCCTCCCACAGCTGCGCTCACGGTCTTCTTATGGAAGCTGTCAGCAGTGTCCGCCAGAGCAAGCAACTCTAAAATGCGATGTTGCAGAGAAGCTCCACGTTGGTTGAACAGGCTGACGAAGAGACGGGCCGCCATGAACACACGGTCTGCAACAGCCTCGACAGCCCTGGCAAAACATTTTTTAAAAAAGATCAGTGGTCACTGGCGGCAATTAGACGATTTAAAAAATTCACATTTACTCACAGCTTCTCGTCTTCTTCCTGAAAATTAGCTGTTTTATTCCATTCACTCCAACCTGTCAAAAGTCAGTAAATCATGAATGTTCGAACAGTGATCTAAACTAGGTATAGTAACAGAGATGAGGAACAAAGATTGACCAATTGTCCAGCTGACAAATTTTAGTCGACTAAGATTAGAGAGGTTCATCTACTTTTTTCTTATATATAAGCCTAATTATACAAGGACTTCTTTAAGAAAGATTAGCAAGCTGGTCTTCTAGGAGACTAGTCATTTTTGAAAACGTAGTTTTGCATGTCCATAATAGGCAATCAAGTAATTTGACCCAACTCACCCTCAACAGTTTTCCACCAGTCCATCAGGTCATCATCCTGTGAAAAGAGAGCAAGAAAGAAATAAAAGGTTCAAAAAGATTTCATAATTAACCCAATTTAACATTATTGCATCATAATAAAATAATAATATACCACATCTGTCTCTAAAGAATTTAAATCTGTTGGGTAGGCAGCCATCTCCACTGGCAGGATTTCAAAAGTACAGTCCTAAAACATTCAGAGAATAGGAAATCATGTGATGGCATAATGTGATATTGATACACCATAGAAGGAGTACAAGAAAATGTAAAGGACTGCAGATGTGGCCAGAGCAATAAACTCCAATGTCCATAATGTACACTCATTCACATACTCATTGCAACAATAACTCACCTCATTTGTCCCCAGTTGCTGCATTTCCATAGGCTCCTCAATCATATCTTCTTGATCTGAACCCTATATAAAGATTTTAGAGTATGATAATTAAATATCAAGTGATATTTAAAAATAAAAGTGTTAACACTACCTGGGTACTGGATGAAAACGTGGACATTCTAGGTAGAGTTCTCTTCACTCTAAATGACACAACCTGAAAGGATGTTATCACCAAAAGATTTTATGCAGAATATGTGAACTGACACTGTAAATAATTTCAAGTGCAAACAAAAAGCCCAATTCCACTATTGTTTGTGGCAAGTGGAATTATGAGCTTTTATTTTCTTGCAATATTCCTGCCTATGTATACTGCTTTTTGACCCTCAGAAGAGAAAACAAGTGCTCCTCTGCATAAAAAGTGAGAGAAAGGCTTACCTTATTACTGTTAGAGAGTTTCTCATCATGACATTTTCTGGGCACTGCAATAGATTTCTATCAAATAGAGGAAACAGTTCAGCATTTTTTTTCACAACATCATCTACCTTTGCAGGCAACTTAAAATCATTACCGATTTGGTGAAGTACCTTTTCAATGCCAGTGTCCAAGAACATATAATCCCAGTCTGTAAATTCACTATGCTCACTTAGCGGATCCTACATTTGATTAAAAATGGTATAAAAGTACATGCTAACTGTGAACATTGTCAACAATCTACTGTAAATACAGCAATAAGAAGAGGAAGCTGCTTCACCGTTTCAGCAGGAAAACGTAATGCTGGTTTTGGGGAACTGCGGAAAGTGCTACTTTGCTTCCCTGAGTTATCCTGTAGAAAAAGGGACAGTAACTGTGAAAAGCACGTGACTAAGCAATTACAACATTATAAATATATTCTACTGTATATAATATAAATAAAGGGTCATGATAAGCACCTTTAAGTTGTTGTTAGAGAGATATAAGAGATTGTCATTACTGGCCAGCAGTTTAATGTGTAATGGTGGGCTGTCCTACAAGAAGAAAGCTTGTAACTACTGTGCATTATCAACAGAAAGGCAGTGGTAGCAATGCAAAAATATATATACAAATACTACGGATAAATTGAACAGACAGTCATATGTTAATTTTGTTTTGTTGTAGTAATATACCTCTTCATAAGTATCCCCAGTTCCTCTAGGAGATGTTTTGAGAAAATTAAACAGGGAATTTTCCTCCTAAAGAAATTAATCTGAGAATTAGAATTACATTTTGTGTGACTTTGAATTCATTATGGCCATTGTGATTGGTCGTACTGAACCTCAGTGACATTATAGCTTACAAGACTGTCACTGCCTGGAAAATCATCACTTTTCAATGCTGGTTCTTCCTGTAAAGAGACAGAAGACCAGCACATTATACAAAGCTATACAAATTATATCATAATCTACACAGTATTGCAAAATGTCAACTTTAAGACATTCATTTAAGAATTAATGAATGCATGAACAAGACTGCACTTTTGTAACACCTTGGTGTTGTTGTTTTGTGTTTGGTTGTGATTGTGGGCTGAGAGCTCTCCATGTTGTAATGATAGTTTTTCCTGTTTAGAAAGAGAGAGGAAGGTAACCTCAGACATACAGTATTCAGAAACTAAACCAAAGACAAGCTTCAAAACTGTAGGTAGCATTATTCTGTGTAATGTGTGACATAAAAGCATTAATTTTACTGACTGAACAGTAATCAAATAAAATAAAACCACAACTACAGCAATACATTTTATACAGTTTACTGTATGTTTTTGTGGACACAGGGTGGATCATCTGAGCTGTTCCAGTGTCCTTAGAGCACTAAATATTTATTTTTTAATCCAAACCTATTGTGCCATTACACAACCTATTGTGATTCACACTGATGTGATTACAGGTTTACTGTAGTTACAACAAAGCTTTGGCTGATGTGTAGGTAATTTCACTGAAGAAGTCACTTGCCTCCCCTAGTTGTAACAGATAGTACTGTCTCATGGCCTGACACTAACTGTATGGTATAATGTATGGAGCACATTTTTATGTGCAAAGCATGTATGTAAGCCACAAAATGGATGAAAATGGATATTAGCAACATTCTGATACCTCCGTGCTCATGGTCGGTGTCATTTCAACTTAAATTATGCTATGAATTTATTTGAACTAGCATATGTATATCAACATATAAAATAGCTTCCATTGTTTGTCATCAAAAAGCATATAGGCTTAAATTGGTTATTTTAATGTCTAAAGTAACACCAAATGTTCTACCTCTTGCACTGGGTGACTCGTCCACTTTTTAGGAGTTCTTTTAAACAACCGGCTGAAAACAGCAGCTTTCCCCTGATAAATGAAGAAAATTTACATCCTACAAACATTTTCATCATAAAAAGTGAAAACTATGAATCGGATATAAATATACACCATTTATAATAAAATTCAAGCATACCTTCGGGTTATTGTTGCCTGATGGTTGATCATCGAGAGCCGACAGCTCACTCTCAGTTAGCTTGTTCTGGGAAAAGATGTTGATTATTCTCAGAAACATGCCATTGCTATATTTACTGTATACTTTCTACATATAACTCAATCAGATTCTTCCTTGCAGTCTGCCTATATTCCAAAATGTTATTTATTGTAAAGCAGAGTCAATGCAGATTCAAAACAGTATTCTGAGAAATCAAACCATAACATCAACTCTCAAGTGCATTAAGAGAAAACATATTAACTGACCTTAATTTTGCTGTTCTCTAACAGACCGTCATTATTGCCCATAAGTTCACAATTCTCATCCTAGAGAAAAAATAGTCAACTAACCATTGCAATTGAAAGCCCAGATATTACGAGAGAGTCTGGTTACATCAAACTAATTACCTTAGTGTGAAAGCTTCCTGTTCCTAAACCCTTAAACATGTACTGTCTCACCTCAGATGAGTGCTCATCTACGTCTGAACGCCTGTACATTGAATCTGCTTTTTCCTGTAGCACAAGCAAAGGAAAAAACACAACACAAATTGGGAGGTTATTCAGATATGTGGTTGCTAAAAAGTATTTGCATATTTAAGTGTGGTACACAATGACATATAATATTGCTCACCTGAATGATTCGTTGTTTTCCTCTGACTTATTGTCACTCTGTCAACTTTCACACCTATGGAAGAATATTCACCATTACATCAATCCTACTTGGAAATCAGTTAATGCAGTTTATTTTTTTAAATGTCATGCTTTAAAATTACCTTGCACATATCTCTTTGTATTTTCTGAAAAGCTAATTTAATAAGCTAATATTTACAATAATTCTAAAATATTGTACCATAGATTTTTACATACAGTCAATATCTTACATTCACACATAAACCTATAAAAAGAGTTTTCTCTCGCTTTGATTTTTTTATGCCATTCCCTAGCTGGTCATTCTCTGGGGTGGACTCTTTCGGGACTCATGTCCATGGACGTTATTCTGTCAGACCAGGCCCACAGAGATTAAAATTAATTATCACAACCAACCCTTTCACAGGTTATGAAGAAATAGACAATCAGCTCCAGACATGTTTCAGTGGTTCATTAAATACTTCTTGACTTCCTTTAAGTAATTATAGTATTTTCCATAATCATTTCCATAATAAATACTTATTAAATTATACATAACAAATGCTTAATAAAAGTGTTCTTTTATGCTTGATTTATCTGCCCTTTCTATTCATTTAATCACAGATTAAGTTGCAGATGCTCAACACACAATCATCTTCATTAGTAGTAAGACTAACTTATCTTTCCAGTGTTGATGCCGCTCTCTTTCTTGTTGCGGTCTTTGATTTTGTAATTAGCTGATGATGAATAAAATGCAGCGCATATCTGTAGATTTCATTGACGTGAACCCTGTTAAATTTGTATAGCACGGGAACTGAAGATTTTGTGGAGACACATTTATGTGGCAAAGTGTAAATGGAACTGTTTTAACAAATCAGATAGCTATCTGATCAGAGAAAACACATTAAGTGACCAGGTCTAAACAGGCCCATAGTCAGATGGATCCGGTCCGTATCCAGACCAGATGGTGGACCTGCACCCTGAGACGACCACAACGCAGTCCTGAATGTCAGCGAAGACCACGACAACTTGACAGCCATTGACACAGATTCTCAGCAAAGACCACAAGAAACAGACAAGTCCTCTGCACAGACCCATATGGCCAGCAATGAACGTGTCAGACCAGGGGCTACTAGGACCACAATGCAGTTTTATCATGCTTACAGTCACTTTTAAGCCAGTTGTCCACTACTGGATAAACGGCAGCCCTGCTGGACAGACTACACTTCTCCTCCCACCAAATGCTGGTGTGACGTATCCTGATGTTCAAGCAGGAGGAGCTGGATGAAATATTCTGAATGACAGCAGTCCACAGTCGGACTAGTTATGCAGCCTGAAATCATAAACACACCACTGAGCTGAGCTAACTACACCTGGCTCTCCCAAGGTTTTTTTTTCTTTCTTTCTCTGTTTCAGTCACCTGGTGGAGTCTGGATTCCACCGACACCTCTGGCTTGCTTAGTTGAAGTCTAAAAGACACTGAATATTCAGTATTATTATTGATTTGGCTGATCTGACACTATCAGTGGTGGACGAAGTACACAAATCAAGTACTTGAGTAAAAGTACAGATACATATAATAAAATATTACTCCAGTAAAAGTAAAAAGTACTCCTTTTTCAATTTTACTTAAGTACAGTAACGAATTAAAACTACTCCGTTACTGTCCACCACTGGACACTATGATGCATGATGACAAAACTTGAACTGAATTGAGCTGGATTATGACATCACTGTTTTCTCCAGAGCTGCTTTATTGCCGAATCGCCTTTGTTTCTTCAAATCAACATCAAGCTGACTCAAAAGTGATTAATTAAACTTTTGTCTGCTGTAGAATTCCTTAAAGCTGAATTGAACTAATTCATTCGTAAACATTAATTTTACAAAGTTAATGAACTGAATCAATACTATTGACTTTTTTAGATCTAAAGTTTTTAAATAAATTAAACAATGTTTTTGGTAGTACAATTTATGGTTGCATTTTATTTTCCTGTAAAACCTATTCAATATATTTAGTCTGCAATTACCTACTTTCTATAGAGTGTTTCATTGTTATTGGCCAAGGAAAGGTTAGATTTTTTTTCAGGTTTTGAATGATTTTATGGTTTATTTATATTAATACAGGGAGACCACGCCTACAGAATACGAAGCTTTTATAGAGCAATCTGGTCTATCTAATGTTGGTCAGCTCTATTTGAGATATTTCCATAGCTAGTTTTGGCCAGATGACCCATTTTGAATAAGGTGTCGACCCACGGATGAGCTATACGGGTAGGGTTTGGACTGGACCTGTTCCAGATCCGTTGCAAGTGCCAGTGGACTCTGATACGGACCCGTTTTGTGAATCGGAGCTTGTGGTACCTCAAGATAGGAAGCATAGGATAGGAGTCAGTTTGCTACCTGGGATCCTCACCTCATCATTTAACCACATATTATCTAATTTAGGGGAAGTCTGCTTCCTGCTTCAGCGTTCCTTTTGGAATCATATTGCGCTTTTTCATTTCTAACCTGAGGAAAAACCATGCTTCCACAATGTATGTATCATAGAAAACAATATGGAAAATATTTTTATGAAGCATTGCGTAGGCAACACAGCACAGGCAGGAGTGCACTCTAAAAAACAATCGAAAGAGTGCCAGGCACTGACATCATTCATGCCAAACAACTGCAAACAGTATCATACGCGTCAACGCCTTGCGCTCCCGACACTTCTATTCGTTAAGATGCACTTTGGTTTGCTTACTTTGTATCCTTCCATTTTCAATGTTGAATTCTTTTTCTAAACTGATCGCTTTTTCTGTTTTTCCAGCGGATTTTCCTAGTCTCAGAGAAAGCGTCTGATCTTGAATGACAAATGGGAGGTCCAGCCAAACACAAAAGACTCTTCTATACCGAAACCTGGCCGAATAGTTTATTTAATAAACATGCAGAATTGACAATCGTGACGATATTTCACCGTACTGTTTTGCCTACCTTAGGTTCTCAGAAAAACGGACTGTCAAAACTTTGTCAAGCTCCACCCGGTAAATCTGTGTTGAGTGAAGACAGACCAGCGGGGCTGTTTAGCAGGGTGTCAAGTATGACGACAGCGAGTCACTTCCACTACACGAATGACATAATACAAGGCTGTTTCTTCAGACACTTTTAGCACAGGTATTGAGCTTTATTATAACAAATGTTACCTTTTTTGTTACATAAGGTAACATTAAAACTGCCTTGAAAACATTTTAGAAAACCCTCATAATATATTTTAAATTCAAAATGAAATAAGCACAATCCATTACCATATTCACTGTATGAAAATACATTATATCAGTCAACCATCAAAAATGTTGGCCTTAATGTGGACACACAGACAGACAGGACCATCAGTGACTGATAAATATTTGGCAATGAGAAATTTGCAAGTAATTAAATGTAATAAATAATGAAATAACTAGCATTCCTTATCCCTTAAAAGAAGGGCTGTCAAACTAAAATAAATCCAAAATAAAGGTTTGTGTTTACATAATATGTGTACTATGTATATTAAACACACACATATACATACAGTAGTGTGAGAAAGTGTTGGCCCCCTTCCTGATTTCTTATTTTTTTGCACGTGTCACACTTTAATGTTTCAGATCATCAAACAAATTTAAATATTAGAAAAAGATAACACAAGTGAACACAACATGCAGTTTTTAAATGAAGGTTTTTATTATTAAGGGAAAACAAAATCCAAAACTACATGGCCCTGTGTGAAAACGTGTTTGCCCCCTAAACCTAATAACTGGTTGGGCCACCCTTAGCATATATATATATGGAACATATATTAGTTCCTATTCTTTTAGCATTATTAAAGCAGCAATTATACCCTAACAAGCAGTGGGAATAAAGTAATAAAAACAAGTTAAGATCCCAAATGTCCTCTTCTGTCGAATAAGGAAAGCCAGTATAGTTCTATAACCATACAATTTTATATCATCTATTGTGAATGTAATAATAAACTCAGAGGAGTGTTTACAGAGGTTTGTCAAGATGGTTTGTCTTCTTTCAGAGTGGTGGTCAACCGCAACTCATCTCGGATTATGTTAAATTCCATCAAGCCCTCATGTAGCTGATCTGCCACCTCTCTAATCTTGGCAGCAAATTCTGACTTTGCACCATTTTTCAGTTCATGGGAGTCCTTGGCCACAAAATAGATGTCCATCCCGACAAAAAGCCCTTTCAGAACACCTGTGGATATACTAGCGACCTGCACAGCACGTGCCGCAGTGGTTCCCGCCGCATTGGCTATCTGCATCACACGCATAATTTCATTGGCATTGGTTAGAATAGCTTTGCCCGCCATAGCGCCATCCTCATAGATATTGTCAAAACAAGGGAAGTCTCGATTATATGCATTCTTCTTCATCTTATTCAGGTTGAACTTGCGTAGGTTTGTAATGCCTTGCTTGATGAACTTCATGCATTTGTTAAGGTCAGCCATCTTCGCCTGGTAGTCTTCCACAATGCGCTCTACCTTTCTGCGATCCAAAGTGTTGTTGACGGTACTGGATATCCCAGCAGATGCAGAGGTAAGACCACCTGCCATGGCAACACCCAGGCCAACCGCAGTGACGATCAGAGAGGTTCCCATTGTGAAAGGTGCTAAGATGAGGCCAGTTATGGTAGCAACACCTCCCACAGCACTGGTGGAGCCACCAGTGATCTGGGCAATCTTGGTTTTCTTGTTGAAGCGGTCCAGGCCATCAGCAATGGCATGCAGGTCGATCACATGCTGCCACAGTCCTTCCGCCCGTTCTGAGAAAAGTTTGTTAAACACACGTATGCCCTTTTGCACCTTTTCAGCTGTTACAGCAAAAGCCCTGAGCAAAAGACAATTGGTCAGTCAAATTCACTTTGTCATGTCACATGCACACAGAATGAATTGGGACTTACTTGGCTTCCTCTTTCTCTGTCATGTTGTCACTTTTGGGCATGTCTTCCCATTCTGATTTGGAAAAAAACAAAATGGGAGAAAAATAGCTAAAGATGAAGGACCATCTATCAGAACCTTTTTAAAAATAAATTGCTGTTAACTAGATTAAACTAATAAGTATTGGGGGGTTGTTTCTAAAAGTGGACAAACATGGCAGGACAAACTCACGTTCCACAGTGTTCCACCAATCCATGAGGCCATCAAGATCCTGTGACAGATGCATTTAGGATAACTAAAAAACAAATTATTTTTTAGAAAACAAAGACAAGGATCTATATTTATAGAACCAACCTCCTCATCCTCTCTCTGAGTTTCACTTAAACGGAACTCATCCAGCCATTCCATGAGGGACTTCTTGTGGCCTTTAGTCTTAGGAAAAAAACAAAACAAAAAAAAATAACAAACCAGAAAGTAGATTGTGTAAAAGGGAACTTGAAGGGAAAATTCCAATGCAGAAACCAACAGAAATTGCAGAAGTTGTGAGTCAAATAGGAAGGTAGTGTGTTTGAGTGGTTTCGTTTTCATCACAGGTTGCAAACATTTGCTGTTGCAAGCTGAAATATTTTTTTCCTTGATGAGTAAAAAAAAAACAGTTCATTTTTTAAATCAAAAATACAAATACAAAACTAATAAAAAAAAGAGAGAAGCACAGAATGCTTCCTTTAGAGACAACTTCTCTTTTTAATGTTTGCAGACATTTAGAATTCCACTTTTGTGTGCAACTGATTGTTAGGCAAGCCAATGCACGGCTCATTTATTGCCACCTGACCTGTAGCGTAAAACAGTTTATGAAGGCCTCAGTGGGGTTTTTATATTTAGGATACCACATCTCTCAGTTCTCATTCTTTACCTGGTTGAGCCTTGTTTTCAGTGTCACAAGAGTTATTTGAGTTACATGATTAAAAGAACTGCTAGGACATTACAGCACCTCTGCAAGGTCACTGCCACTGTCTTCATTTTGGTTTCCATTCTTCTTCTGTGTTCCTTTGTTCTGAAAAAATAGCACATGCTTCCATTAACTAACAACTGTGAGGATTTAAAAAAAGTAAACATTCATTTATTTATTTTTTACCTTTGCGGCAACCTGGGGCATAAATGGATTTCTGGGTTTCTTCTTCTGTCCTTTTTGCTGTGAAAATGTCATATGGTTTAAAGCCGTTCAACTGGGATGAAGTCCAGATCACCCGTTTTGGTTCTCTGGAAACACGCAATGGTAAGGTCATCAGTATTTACTCAAAATGGTAAGATGGGTGCTTACTTTTGGATTTTCCTCTTCTCCAGTTGCCTCAACCACTGTGGCAGGCATCTTTTCCGGGATCTCATTGCTAGCGGCCTGTAATGAGGAGCAGAATGCATATAACCCTAAAGCCCCGTTGACACTGCAAGCGATGCGCAACGGCAAAGCGACACGATCCATTCATTTCAGTGAAGAGCTGGCAATTTCTGGCGACACGAGCGTCAGCAACTGTTGGCGACCGGATGAGGCGTGTCCAGTGACACGACAAAGTTTAGAATTCTTCAAATTTATGCAAATGAAGAGCGACTTTCGGGAGCGACAGCCAATAGGAAAGAAGACGGTAGAGCTCGTGATCTTTCTCCTCTCAGCTCAGGCTGTGACGGAAAGATGGAGGAGAGGCTGTTTGTGTTTTTACCGTAGATAAACATACGCAATGGAAAAAAGCAGGCTCTGTTTCTCATTAATTTTTGTTTTTATGTACGGATTTATATTATATTATATTATATTATATTTAGTCTTTTGCCTCCAATATGTTTCAAGCGGCAACCTTCCAGTCTCTCTCGTGAAACCAACACGGAAGTGACTAAAACTGCAATTCATCGCCTGGCCGCTAGAGGCTGGCTCCAAAAGGGAGTCAGTCCCATAGACTCCCCATGTTAAAATGCCCAATTTTACAGAAGAAAATATGTTTACAGCCTGGTGCAAAAAGTGGTTTTGGTCTATATAGCTAATTTTGCCCTTCATGACAACTGTGAGGGGGGTGAATTTTTTTATAACTCATCTGTTTAAATTATATTAACCCTTAAAGTTCTGCATAATTAGGGGCGTGGCCACATGAGTGACAGGTGGATTGCCGCTGCTGTCACCGCCATCGAGCTAAGTGGATGTGGTTTCAGCAACCATCTCCCGCCTCTTTGCCCATTTTCGATTATCCGGGAGTGACGTGCGGTGAAGATGGCGACGGCAAAACGCTCTTCAGAATCCTACGGGTGATGTCACGGACACTACGTCCATGTAACGAAAACTGATTCGTTACTAGGCAGCCAGTAGTGAGAACGCCCACTATGACCTCATCGCCAGCCTCTGGCGACATGCAGTTGCTGCTAGTGTGCACGCAGCTTTAGCCTATGATTCAGAAATAACTTTAAAATTGTGATTATCTAGCCTATGATCTGTATTGACTAAAAAATACAGAATGCAAAAAATGACAGAATACAAAATGATAAACTAACAGAAGTGTCATTTAAAAAAAAAAAAAAAACTTTAGTAAACCTGTCACGGTTGCCAGACAAAAAAGCACTATTTGATGCACGCTTCAGACAAGTATTTAAATCGTAGCCTTCCAATTTGCTTTGTTATTGAGCTACTTTATTCAACCTCTGCTAGATGATCTTACACAACAATTTGAGTCACATCCCACCCAGCATTCTGATGTGCATGTAGGTACTTGTCTTTTATCTTTGGTTACTGCTATTTAGGCTAGGCCAATTAAAAAACAAAACGTATTGCTGAAAAAGCCCAAAGGCATGTTGAAATAACAGCTTCTATACCAAGCTAGACTTGCATAAGTTTCCTAGATGAACAGCAGCACCTTAACCAGTTTGTTACAACATGTTTTCAATGAAGCTCAAAGTTTAGGGGTGATGTCTGAATATATAAAAATAATCAAGTGTTAAAGACTTAAAGGGGTCATATGATGCGATTTCAAGTTTTCCTTTCTCTTTGGAGTGTTACAAGCTGATTGTGCATAGATAAGATCCCTGAAGTTGCAAAGACTAAAGTTTCAAAACCAAAGAGATATTCTTTATCAAAGTTAAGACTCTGCCACGCCCCCGCGAGAGAGAGAGAGAGAGAGAGAGAGAGGGGGTCACATCACAGTGGAGTCAGCTGTCTTAACCGTGGCTTGCGTACTGCACACATACCAGCTTCATCACTGTGTCTGTCACGCTACTCTGTTCCCCTTTCGGGCTCTGTCTTTACATTTATTTTGAAAGATGAAGCTGGCGATTATGGTAAGAGCGTTACATTTCCGACGAGTGCTTGCGGTGTTCGGCCAATCACAATGCACTGGGTCAGCTACATAATAATTTAAAAATAAATATAATAATACTATAATTGTCATTATAAAATATTATAAAAAGAATAAAATAAAATGTACAATATATATTTTAGGTAGTCAATATACATTTTTGGCAGTCAAAGCAACAGCAGTTAAATTTTGTTCACATTATAAACCAGTATAGAGATGAAATTGCTTATTTCCCTCCTTATACGTTGGTT